AAATCTAATGTGTATTTTAAATTTATAGTACATCTCAGTTCAGACTAGCCACATTTTAAGGGTTTAGGAGTCACATGTGGCAAGCGGCCACTATACTGGAAAACACAGATATACAACCTTAAATTGCTCAGAGCCTTTTCCTGAGTCACAAATGCACCGGCCTATGAATGTAATGAGAAAGACCTGTAGGTCTCCTGTGTCCAAACTCATGGGTGGTGAGACAAGCACATGGTCCTGCTTCTGTTTCCATCACTGCAGTGGTCGCTGTCTTAGTGTGTTTGTGCTGCTATAATAAAATACCTGAGACTTAGGAAATTCTAAAACAGAAATTTATTGCTCATGGTTCTGGAGGCTGGTAAGTCCAAGATCAAGGCTCTGGCAGCTTTAGGGTCTGGTGAGAGCCCTGTCTCTGCCTCCAACATAGCGCCTGTGTCCTCCAGAGGGCGTGAGTGCTGTGTCCACCATGGTGACGGACCAAACCCATTTCCTCAAACCCTTGTACACTGGCCTAACCCTGGCCACCAGGGCTCCACCCTCACGACTTAACCACCTCCGAAAGGCCCCACCTGTTCATACACTGACATTGGTGGTATGGTTTTGGGAGGACACATTCACACCATAGCAGCCCCCTCTTTCAGGAGACCCTTCTCACCAGCCCTTCCTCAGGCCCGGGCAGAGAGTTGCAGGATATTTTACCAGGTTGACCTCGATGAACTGGAATGCTCACCACTCCACTTTTTGCTGATTTAATAGCATTTTTATCTTGGGATTTATTATTTCTGAATTTTCTCTAAACCTTCCTCTGCCTTCATTCTAGTAGCTACAGAAATCCACCTTGATCTTGAGGAATATTTTGAAGGCCCAACCTTCTGCCCTCATCCTAAATACTTAACCATTTGAGCCTACAAAGAGGAAGTAATGTAATTAATACATTTGTTTACTACTAGCCATATTATATCTTATATGTTAGCTTGAGTTATCTTCATCTTTTGGCTTTAATACGTAACACTTTGCACTGAAAGAAACCATCTGTATTTTTCTTATGATAGTTGTGGTAACAAAAATCATGTTACAACAGTGCAATCATGTTACAACACCCAGATACAGTGAAGATGCTTCACTGTTTCTTCGGGACAAAAATCAAACATTAAAGCTCTGCTGCTAGTAATCTGTATGCAGAGCAGGTTCCCAGCCATGGCTCACTAGTATTACAAATTGAAATCTAAGGGCAGTATTTCAGATAGCGTTTTCACATTTATGACTTAAAAACAAGAATAAAATTACCTCTTCTTATATATTAAATAAAAGAAGCTGAGAAGAGTGGTGAATCAAAAAACTCCATCTATAATCTGATTTTTTCTACCACTCTATGATTTGAATATAAACTTAGAGATACCTAATTTAAAAGATAACTGCCTTTTTGTTTATGTTGATGAGCTGGTAATTATTTCATGTTTGGGTTCGATAAATGATAAAGAATTTTGCCACCTTTCAAAAGTTTTCAGCCTAGATAGCTTATATTCTTTGTCTATTAAATTATAATAATCTACTCATTTGAAACTATAATAAAATAATCATCTCATTAAAAGAGTTACATTTCTTTTAAAAATTACTTTTCCCTTTTGGGCCTTGTAGGAAAAGCTGTTAAGAACTCTTCTGCTATTATATAAATCTATACTTCGTTTGGGCTTAGATATTGAGGCATTAGCAACGAATTTACTTATAGATTGTAAGTGCCTTTAAATGGAGGCATCCTAATTTCTGAAACAAATACAATGATTTATTTTTTTGTTTGCTGTTTTTCGAGATAGGGTCTTGCTCTGTTGGTGGGCTAGAGTGCAGAGGCGCTATCATATCTCACTTCAGCCTCAAACTCCTGCCTCAAGCGATCCTCCTGCCTCAGCCTCCTGAGTAGCTGGGACTACAGGCTCACACCATCACACTCAACTAATTTTTCTATTTTTTTATACAGATGGGGTCTCACTATGTTGCCCAGGCTGGTCTCAAACTCCTGGCCACAAGGGATCCTCCCATTTCAGCCTTCCAAAGTGCTGAGATTACAGGCATGAGGCATAGTGCTGGGGTTTTTTTTTGGTTTGTTCGTTTTCTTTTCTTTTTTTTACTGATGATCTTTTATCAGCAGAGACTCTGTTTTCCCCCTAAGCACTAAGCACTTGCACAAGTATTTTTCTTTTTCTTCTGAGCTGGGGTATTTCCATTTTACAGATAAATAAATGAACACTGACTCTGGATAAGCATATATAACAGATAGCCAGAATCAGGACTTTGAACTTTCAAACTGTGAACTAACATAAACTCTTACAGCTCCCCCGACCAGCTGACTGAATGGAACCCCCTCTTGGTCAATGGGATATCCTAAAACTAAATTGCTTGCCATGAGGGAGGTCAGACATGCTTCATAATGCCCCCTCCCTTCTTGGAGGCATCCTTTGTAACCCATTAACAGACTTAAGGGTATGCAAGACAAACCTGCAAGTCCTCAGTTTACATAAAAATATATGTCTGGCGGCTTGTTTCTGATTAACAGACCTCCTTATTGTAAGATATTCCAAGCCTGTAGACAAAGCTTCAAGTCTTTAACCAATTACCAGTCAAAAAATCTTTAAACCCACCTATAACCTGTAAGCCCACCTTTTCAGGCCAAACCAATGTATGATTTCCATGCATTGATTTATGACTCCATCCATAACCCCTGTCTCCCTGAAATGTGTAAAACCAAACTGTAATCCAACTACTGTGAGCCCACTTGCTCAAGGCTTTTTGGATGTGGCTCCAGGTAGTGGTCCTCAAATTTGTCTCAGAATAAATCTCTTTAAAATTATTTTTACAGGCCAGGTGCGGTGGCTCATGCCTGCAATCCTAGCACTCTGGGAGGCTGAAGTGGGAGGATAGTTTGAGTTCAGGAGTTCCAGACCAGCCTGAGCAAGAGTGAGACCATTTCTACCAAAAATAGAAAAAATTAGCTGGGCATGGTGGCTCATGCCTGTAGCCCCAGCTACTCGGGAGGCTGAGGCAGGAGGATTGCTTGAGCCCAGGGGTTTGAGGTTGCTGTGAGCTAGGCTGATGCCATGGCACTTTAGCCTGGGCACCAGAGTGAGACCCTGTCTCTAAATAAATAAATAAATAAAATAAAATTATTTTTTAGAGAGTTTGGCTTCTTTTCCATCAAAAAAAGTCTGACTTAATGAAACTTTGTTCAGACTTTCAGCTCCAAATAGACCCAGGGTAGACCCTCTCAGAAGTTCTTTTCTGATTTCTATGGAAATTACCCAGAACCTAGGTTTCCTGGCCATGATCTGCTGACCCTTAAACTTTTAAGAACCAAATGGCATGCTCTACGCACTCCTTAGTTGTCAAGGGTGTGTGTGTTGTGTGTTGGTGCATGGATGGAGAGGGGCTGCACAAACTCCTTCCCTGCAAGATGATCGGATGGATTTGGTGCATGCTGCAACTGGCGGGGAGCCGGACTGCGCATTGTCTGCATTAAGCGGAGCAACCAAGGGTTTCTCTCAACAGCCAACCGAGCATACCGGGCGGCTAGCTAATGATTGGCACCTTCTGATTTCGTATCTGACTTACAGCAATTACGTGAATATGCCCCTGTCACCTGGCACAGTATGAGGACTGGAGTCTGAAGTAGGACCCCAAACAACTCCAATCAGGTAAGGGAGAAAAATCACAGCCAAACATTCCATAGTGGTCATGCTAAATTACTCCACTGCAATTTTTGCCCCCTCCTTTCTGAGATAGGAGGAAAAGAAAAAGGTCTATTTCTTTAGGGTTGATGTAGATGCCCCGCAGCTCATCTGGGCTTTTCCACTCCTTTTTGTGTACCAGGGCAACCATCCTGCAGTTTCCGGACGTCTTTCCCACGCGGCCTGCGGGCCCACTCCTCTCCGCGACGGGCGCGGCGGCCGCTACCTGGCGGCGCCCAGAGCGGGCACGAGAAGGGCCGCGTCGCCTCGCTGCTGCTCGGGCCGTGCGGCCGGGGTTCACTCCCGGCCGGGCTCCTACCAGGCCGGCCCGGAGCGGGCGGACCCGGCGCGGGCGGGGGTGGCTCCAGCCCCGCGGCTCGGGGACGCCCGGGTCGCCTCTGGCGTCCATCCGCGTCTCCTCCTCCAGGCAGCCCTCCGCGGCGCCACCTTTGAGCTGGGGCCACGTTCCGCGGGGCAGGCGGGGCGGCCGGGCGCGGGGCGGGCGAGAGCGGGGCCGCGGGGCGGCGCGAGAGCGGGCGCGGCGGGCGAGAGCGCGCGGGCGGGCGGAAGCGGGCGCGGGGCGGGCGAGGCGGCTGGCGCCCGGCCGTGCGGGGCCGGCGGGGCGCGGGGAGGCCGGCGGGAGGCCGCGGGGAGCCGGAGGGCCGGCGGGCGCGGGAGCCGGCGGGTGCCGGCGGGGGGCCGCGGGGCGCGGAGGCCGCAGGGAGCCGGAGCCGGGGAGCCGCGGAGGGCGGAGGCGGCGGGGGGGGCGGGGAGCCGGCCGGGCGGCGGGAGGCCGGCGGGGCCGCCCCGAGAGCTGCCCGGCGCTCCGACGCCCGCCTGGCTGCGAGGAGACCCGGAGAGCGCGCCCGCCCGCTCGCGTCCGCATGGGTCCGTGGAGCGCCGGCGTCAGCGCAGCGGCGAGCGCGGCCGCTGACAACTCAGCCCCGGAAAGGGTTAACCGCGTCCGGCCGCGCGGCCAGTAAATAGAGGGCAGCTGGCCGCCCGGCCCCGCGGCTCCTTTAAGTTTTTGATTGGCTGCCAATGACGTCACCGCCCGCGCGGAGCGCCCGGGCCGCCAGCCGCGTCGGGCCAGCCCGCCCCAGCCAGGCGAGGCCACGCCCCGGCCACGCCCCCGCGGCCGTCCATTGGCCGCGGGCCTCTGTGAGGTAGCGGGCGGCTGGCTCCGGATTCTTACTGGCCCAGCGCGCCGTCGCTCGGCGGCCGGCCCGCCCCTCAGAACCGTACATTTACAGCGTAGCAAAAGAGAAAGTAACTATGTTGCCGCGGGACTTCAGTGAAGCCGGGTGAATGGGCCGGAGCGCCAGCCCGCAGCGGGAGCGCAGCGCTGGGCGTGGAGGCGGCGCTTCCCCACCAAGTGAGTGCGAGTCGCCGCCGCCGCTGCGCCTGCCCGGAGTGGAGAAGGCGCGTAGGGCAGGGCCCGCGTGAGTGTGCGTCCTGTGTGTGAGTGAGTGCGTCCTGTGTGTGAGTGCCCGCGTGAGTGTGCGTCCTGTGTGTGAGTGAGTGCCCGCGTGAGTGTGCGTCCTGTGTGTGAGTGAGTGCCCGCGTGAGTGTGCGTCCTGTGTGTGAGTGCCCGCGTGAGTGCGTCCTGTGTGTGAGTGAGTGCTCGCTCGTGAGTGTGCGTCCTGTGTGTGAGTGCGTCCTGTGTGTGTGTGTGAGTGCTCGAGTGTGAGTGTGCCTGTGTGTGAGTGCTCGAGTGTGAGTGTGCCTATGTGAGTGAGAGTGAGTGCCTGTGTGTGAGTGCTCGAGTGTGTGTGTGCCTATGTGAGTGAGAGTGAGTGCCTGTGTGTGAGTGCTCGTGTGAGTGTGCGTGTGAGAGTGTGACTGTGAGTGCTCAAGTGTGAGTGTGCGTGTGCCTGTGAGTGAGTGGTCGAGTGTGAGTGCTCAAGTGTGAGTGTGCGTGTGCCTGTGAGTGGTCGAGTGTGAGTGTGCGTGTGCCTGTGAGTGAGTGGTCGAGTGTGAGTGCGAGTGTGCCTGTGAGTGAGTGGTCGAGTGTGAGTGCGAGTGTGCCTGTGAGTGAGTGGTCGAGTGTGAGTGCTCAAGTGTGAGTGTGCGTGTGCCTGTGAGTGGTCGAGTGGTGTGCCTGTGAGTGAGTGGTCGAGTGTGAGTGCGAGTGTGCCTGTGAGTGAGTGGTCGAGTGTGAGTGCGAGTGTGCCTGTGAGTGAGTGGTCGAGTGCGAGTGCGAGTGTGCCTGTGAGTGAGTGCTCGAGTGCGAGTGAGAGAGGCGGTGCGGGCGGGAGCCGCGCAGGTGAGATGACAGTTCCCCTGGCCTCTGCTCTGCAGTCTGCTCGGGTCGCGGGGAAGAAGTGTTTGTTGGGTGCTTTGCGGCAGTTTTAAAAGCCGGAGCGGACGGTGCGCGTGTGGCGCGGAGGGGACGCCAAGTGTCCCCGGGTGGGGAAGGAGCCCTCTCGCACCACTTTTCTCTCCAGCCCTGCCTGGTGGCGCAGGGCGGCTAGCGAGGGTCAGTTCAGCGGGGGTTCCTGGCCAGGCCGGCGGGCCCTGGCGATGGGCCGAGGCTCTGCTGCAGCGCGGCTTTCTCTCCAGACTCCGGCGCGAGCCGCGCACTCGTGCGGGCTGGGCCCAGCGTGTCTCCGACCCGCTCGTGCGTCCCTTTCACAGGAAATGGACTGTTGATCCTGGACGTGCCCTCCTAGGTAACACAGTGGCTAAGACTTTCACCGCTTGATCCCGTTGGGAAACAGTTACAGCTTCTAGAATAGCACTGGCTCTTAAAAACAACAACAACAACAAAAACAATACTACGCAAAGAAGGGAGGGAGGAGGGGGCTGGCGCTTTTGCTCCCATCCAGAGGTGCCTGAGAGAAACTGGAGTCAGTGGGGCTCTGCCGACCGACGTGCTGGGTGCGTGCCCCTGTGTGTGCGCGCGTGGATTCCGCCTGTGACCCTCTGGTTCTGTGTCAGAATGGTGACGGTCGTGTGTAGATGGAGGATGGATGACATTTTTTCCAGAGAGCACTTAAAGTTCGTTTAGGCAAGCGGCTTTTGCTTGGGTTTGGTTTCTCTGCTGTGTGCATTCAATAGAAGGAGAGGAGTTAGCAGGGGCGGCTGTCGGCCCCTGTGCCTACCTGGAGGAAGGAGCAGTCCCTTTGCAGACGCCCTCTGAGAGACCAGGGGCAGACCTGCGGGCAAGACTGCGCTGCCCCCTGCAACAGGGACAGGCTGATTGGCAAGTCTACTTTATGGAATCCCTACTCTTGAAGTAGGGAGGATGATTGCACAGGACTGAAATCTCACACTGAGTGGCCGCCTCCCCCTGAGAGAAGCTCTAGGGCGCGGTCTGTGCCGCCGGGAGGGCGGAGCAGAGCCGGAGAGGCCCTCTCCCCAGAGGCAGGAGTCGGGCTGTGGAGCGGTGGGTAAGGGCCTGCCAGGACTAGGGTTTCCAGATTTGGCTTCTTGGCTTCAGACTTCATTTCAGGACACCATTTTGTAGTGAAAAGGGGAAATGCAGATTAATTTATAAATGGCTAACAGAAAAAACGTGAGGTTTTAATATGACTATGGTGTGCTTTTCAAAGGACCCAGTAGAATGAAAAGTAGGAATAGTTTCTAATTAAAGAGATTTACTTAGGGGTATACTTTCATTCCTATTTGCAGGAAGTTGACATTTGCCCTGATATACATGTTTCGCTGCTGTATATTTCTGAGCCATGCCAATGCTCTTGGTTATCCCTTGGCCTTTGCAGTGGATGAAGGAATGAAATGGGGAGCAGGCAAGGGTGGACAGATAGGTCTTTCTCAGATGGTCATAGTAAACTTCTGCCTAGGAGATGAGGTCCACAATAGATGCCTCTTAAGAACCTTCCTTTCTGTCTTTAGCTTTTTCAAATTCTTTGTGCTTTTTCACCTTCTCTAAGGCTGGAATTTGATGTAGGTCCATGGAAGGTTGTTCATTAACATTTACAACATTGTGTAAACTTAACCTTAGACCTAGCAACCAAATAGATGGGGCCCTCAGGTTTGCATCTTCTTTGACTACATGAAAATGAGTTCCAAACTTTGATAGTGGCATGACAAAGGGCACTTAGGATGGCTTTGTTCAGAGGGATGCAAAGGGCTTTCCTAGGGATTGGATGAGACTGCCTTTTGTGTCACATGACTGTATTCTTTCTTTCCCCCCTCCCCTTACTTACAGATTGTCTCGACTTCTTGAATTGCCAGTTTTCAGCCTCCTCATGCCTCCGTCTCCTTTAGACGACAGGGTAGTAGTGGCACTATCTAGGCCTGTCCGACCTCAGGATCTCAACCTTTGTTTAGACTCTAGCTACCTTGGCCCTACCACCCCAGGCAGTAACAGCCACCCTCCTGTCATCGCCACCACCGTCGTGTCCCTCAAGGCTGCGAATCTGACGTGTATGCCCTCATCCAGCGGCTCTGCCCGCTCCCTGAATTGTGGATGCAGCAGTGCCAGCTGCTGCACTGTGGCAACATACGACAAGGACAGTCAGGCCCAAGCCCAACCCAGCACCACCGGCACCACCAGTGGAACCTCCACCTCCTGCCCTGCTAGCCAGATGGTCAACAGTAATGAGAATGCGGGTTCTTTAAGTCCACCAGGCGGGGTGGGCAGCCCTGTGGCAGGGACCCCCAAGCAGCTAGCCAGCATCAAAATAATCTACCCCAGTGACTTGGCAAAGAAGATGACCAAATGCAGCAAGAGTCACCTGCCAAGCCAGGGCCCTGTCATCATTGACTGCAGGCCCTTCATGGAGTACAACAAGAGTCACATCCAAGGAGCTGTCCACATTAACTGTGCCGATAAGATCAGCCGCCGGAGACTGCAGCAGGGCAAGATCACTGTCCTAGACTTGATTTCCTGTAGGGAGGGCAAGGACTCCTTCAAGAGGATCTTTTCCAAAGAAATTATAGTTTATGATGAGAATACCAATGAGCCGAGCCGAGTGACGCCCTCTCAGCCACTTCACGTAGTCCTCGAGTCCCTGAAGAGAGAAGGCAAAGAACCTCTGGTGTTGAAAGGTAACGCCCCGCTCCTTCCCAAGCACAGTGCTGATTTGCTGGGTTCACTTGGGTTTCCTGTTAGAAGTGACAGCATTCTCCTTACCCTGGCTACCAAAGACCAAAGTAGACTTTTTTCCTTGTCTTCCCTTCCATGACTTTATTATTTTGGTATAGTGAGAACGACCCAGCAGCATTGAACTAGAAGCCAGAAGATCTGGGTTCTAGCCTTGATTCAGCTTCTGATTTGCATTGTGCAAGTCATTTCACCTCTCGGAGCCTTCCTAGAAGGGGCTTTCTGTCACCAGACGGTTTCTCATCTCAAGTCATGCCTGGTCTGGGAGGTCTTCATTTTGATCAATAACTAGTTGGAAAGTTATTGTCTCTCAGACTTAACCAATGTTGATGGAACAGAGGAAGCAGCAACTATGGTGAACTACAAGTAAACCTACAGGTACCAGTTCTTTTTGTGAGAAATTCTTCCTCTTTCTCACCTCTCTGACCAGCTTGGCTTTTATATGGTTTATAAAGTGACCTTCAAGAAGGGCAGGGATTCTTTATTATAAGGCCCCATGGAAAATATAAGTTCACCAAGGACATCCATTCCTCTGCCAAAGCTCCAAAGGGACAGAGACATTTTTATGAAATACTCCCCAACCCATTGTTTTTTCTGGCCTCACCTGAAAATCTGTGGTACCGCGCCTCCGCCCCATACAAAGTAATGGGTCGCTTGCCCCAGTAAGCTGAATGCAGATTAACTCTGAAGTTAGCAAATGGATCCCCAGCAGGAGGAATTCTTTACTTGCTCTTCTCTGGGCTCCTTCCATACATGTTGCCTGCCCTATTGTGGGAACGCTCACCTTGTGCCCAGCCCAGCTGTGCCTCTTTGCCCTGTAATACTGTGCTTTGGGGCCTGCACATCACGCTACTTCAGTATCTTCTACCTGGTGCTGGGAGCAAGAGACACTCATCTTCTCTTCTCCTGTATTTTGAGCCAAGGTACACAGTTTCTGGGTCACATCTTCAACCAGTCTCCTGAAGTGTGTTGACCAAAGGTGTTACTGGGTGCCTTTGAACACACTGTAGATTAAATTGCAGTAGGCCGTTTGGGTGAGCAAGTTAGCTCTTTTGTCTTTGTGGGACAGCCCTGCCATGCTCCTTCTTGTATGGGATGCATTATGCTTGGTTCTGTAGTGTTCTTGGAAATGTGATGCTGAATTCCTTTGATATAATTCCCTCTTCCCACACTCCACTCCCCACTTTAAGCTTGCTCTCATTGGGCTCAACTGCCACAAAGGTATATTTTTCCTTAGGGCTGTTGGGTTCTGATGGGAAGGAGAATGTCATAGAATTATATGCAGAGTTCTAGAACCTTCCAGGCATTTCTTGGTGGTGGTGGGTTTTCCCAGGGTCACAAATATGTTCAGATTTCCTCTGTGTAGCTCTGTATTTTGTTGATTTTACATTATTGTTTGGTTGACTTTGAGTGATTCCCAGTAGGTTTACCCTGCTATTGCTCTCTTACCACCTTTTTCAGATGAGAAAATCCCATCTGCAAATTTTCCATTTGCATTAGTTTGTCTTGGGAAACAAAGAAGGGGGTAGCCAATGATCTTGATGGTCTCCTCTTTCCTCACATACAGCAAATGTTCTTGATAAAAAACAGTCCTGTTGTGTCTCCATGATCTGAGGAAAAGTGTCAAACAACACAAATGACCCTGAACTTGAACTTGAGCATGATTAGGAGGAGTTGTAGATCCTACCTTCTGTTTTGTAGTGGTTGTTGTTGGGTGTGGGGGTGAATCAGAAGTGAATCTCCTGGATGCTACAGCTGAAAGTGGGGTTCCTCTCCCCCTTTCCTGTGGATGTGGCTGAGATTCTGAGCAGCCTGGGTTTGTCCCTCACTGTCAGTAAGATTGCCTCAGTGGGGCGGAGCCAGACACACTGCTGACCTGGCCACTGGGCGCCCTTGGCGGCCCTGAGGGCTCGTCATTGTCGGGTTGGTGAGGCACTGCCACGGTCGACTTGGAAGACGCTCTGGCGGTAGAGGTTAGATTATCTGTAGCTTCTCGGGCCTTTTCTTCGCCTATCTGGGAATTTAGTTGAAAATATGTAGTACAGGATCAAAAGGGGCTGTGATCTACTTTATTATTACCATTATTAATTTTGGTATCTTTTTGGAGAATGGCCTAAAATTGGGACCAAGATGGTAAAAAAGGGAAAGAGATGGGTCAATATATTAGAGTGTCTTTCCATATCCTTTCATCTGGATAGACCAGAGGTTAATATCACAGCACCCACTGAGGCAAAAGATGGGGTGGGCACTCCCAAAGGCATGGTCAGCAACTTCTCTTAGGTTCTTGAGTGGATCAAGCAGACCATTCCAATCTGGCTTCTCTTCTAAGTTTTATTTTAGTAATCCCCTTCCTTGCTGATAAGATTGCATGTCAACAAGAGTGATGTAGTGGTGCCATTTTGGAGAGAGTGACTTTTGCAGAGAAGATGAGGCTCAGGGTTGGAAGAGGGTAGAAACTCCTAAGGCCTTGTTACTTTATTTTCAGAGATTTCAGTACAATCTTAGGTAATTTATGGCTGGCCCATTTGATTCTCTGGTTTTTGTTTGTAAACACTGGTTGCTACCCTCCCTGTCCAAGGTCTGATGTGCCCGGTTTCACTGCTACACTCTCCATTTTTGGAGCTGCCTGTCGGGGAGAGCAGCTACTCGTTGCCATTTCAGTCATGCTGTGTCAGGTTGGGAAGAAACTGATCAGAGGCACAGAAGCCCCTGGGATTACGTTACTGCTCTAGTTTACAGTGCCCTCCCTGTGGTGCCGTGTCAGAATCCAGGTTTTAGTCTCATCTTCTCAAGGATAAATGGCATCAGACCTACGCTTCTGTTCAGCCTGGTGAAAATGATCCAAATGAGTAAATATTTAAGGGTTTGTGAAGTCTTTGAAGAGTTACAGTCTCCTTGACCCACAGTTGATTTTTCATCAACTGAAACTTAGTTTCTAGCCAACTGAATAAAAAGGCGAGATAATTCTGGACCATCCATAATAAGAGCAACCATTTTTGCTATAATGCATATGAGGCTCCTTTTCTTTTCAGTAAAGTTGGGTTCAGGGGAATAGTTTGCCACTTACCTATGTAGGAAAGGATAGTATACCTCTGCCTTGTCCTTAAGGATAGTATATGCCTTTAAAACATGTATTATAAAATTTTTCAAACATATAGAAAACTATGTAATGAACACATATACCTATGAACTGTATTAAATAATATTTTTTCCTATTTGCTTTCTCTTCCTTTGTTGAAATATTTAAAAATATAGACCACATTTTAATGCATCTAAGAAAGTTTAATGTTTACACTTAATATTTTAAATGTAATGAAGCTGGGAATATTTTGTAATATGATATAGACAACATTTTCATTCTCTAATATTTCAGTGTTATGTCCCCATTTTTGAGCGCTTTTCAAAGTTAGAATCCCACTATGACTGTCTAGCTGTTGGGTCTCTAGAGAAGCTTCCCTCCCTCAGAATGGCAGGGCTCCAGGTGCCTTTCTGCGGCCTGTCTCCTCCCTCACAGGTATGTAGGAGCCCGCCTGGACTTGTTCTGTGCTGTTACAAAACCAAGACTGACTGATGGCTGCAATCCTTGCCAGGCCTGCTCTGTTCCAGAGGCATTTATTGGGGAAGAAGGAAGAAAGAGAAATCGTTTAGGAAGGCTGATTTGTAGAGAGCTTCAGTCACATAGGGAGTTAGACTTCTATACTACTAAAAACTTTCCTTCGTAATTCCTGAGAAATGAGCACCATAGATTGAACATTTTTTTCCCTAGTCAAAAAGGATTCTAAAATATACACATGTAGGCGATGTAGAGTTGGATGACAAGGTGAATAGCCGTGCTTAGAAATCAGAGAACCTGCAAAAATATTCTCTCTCTCTTGGTGCTTTCTTTTTTTCTTTTCTTTTCTTTTTTCTTTTTTTTTTTTTTGGCGGGGGTGGAGCAGGAAGACAAAATTCTCCTCTTTTCAGGAATGTTATGAGGATCTTTTTAAGGTATGTGAAATAAAGACATATCTACATTCACATACTTGCAGTTGTTATTCTGAGCCTCTGGTTAACATCCAAGGTTAATGTCAAACATTAGCCTTGTAGCAAAGAGAAAAGAAATTAAAGTAGAACTGAATCCCCACAGCCTGAATTCTACTCTTGGTTCTCACCCTCCTAGCTATGCCCTGGAGCAAGTTGCTTAATCTCTTACCTCCTTAGTTTCCTCATTAACTAAAAGAGGATATAACAATATCTATCTTACAGTATTAGTTTAGAATTTAAATAAATTAATGCATGTAAAGTGTTTTCATATGCGGCACTGTTTTCATATGCGGTAAGCACTCCACAAATGTAGCTCAGTGACATTATTACTATTGAACAGAAATGATGATACCAGTAAAAAGGCAAGTTGGCTCCTCTTCCAAAGGGGCGCAAATAACAAGCTAGGTGTAGTGGAGTGTGTGTGTGTGTGTGGGGGGGGGCATGTGTGTTGCTATGGCCTAAAAATAACTTGGTGACTGTTACCCTAATTTAAGTAGCATACAGTTGATCTGCCAAGTAATTGCAAAAACATGTTGGGTCAAGAGGCCAGAATAACTTAGGCATATTCTAGAATTATTTATTTGTAGGGAAATGTGTAAAAATGTGATGATAAATCTGTCCAACTTATGTCCCATAACAAAATAATGAAAGTGTAAAACTTTTAAGCTTTGATTTTTCTGGGCTCTCATCTGGCTGATTTATTTTTGGAGTAAGGATTGTAGTCTGACTGTAAAAGGGTACATAGAAGGCGGGGGGTGCGGGCTGGGTTCCTGAAGGCTTGGGCTGGGATGTGATGGAGGGTGAAGGAAAAAGAGAGGAATGAGTTGAATGGCCTGCTCCTTTCTGTAGCGAGTCCTGACCATTTTCCCAGTTGCCTGGACTCTCTGTGAGCTTCTGGGGACACTGTTCTGCTTCCTAATTA